TATAAACCATTTCACAGACGTAGACGTAGACCAATTGATTTGCTGCGTGAATATAACTAGTTGATCCACAGTAGTTATATAACTAATGGACCAACTAGCTATACTATAACAATATACACTGTGCTTAACACAACCTATACAGTTGACTTAAAACCATATAAAGAGCTAAGCATATGCTTTTCGCACTCTATCATTAATACACATATTCTACAGCTGTCAAATGTGCTTGGCCGTAGGCCGCATACAAAATATCAACATCTGTGCATTGCATTGGCACAATTAAGACAATAGCACGAACATAGGTAGTAGTAGTACTAATACAGGGGCAGTATAAAGTGGCTAAAACTTTCTATTCCTCCTCCTCCTTAAACCCACCCGGAAGAGTCTATGCGGTGGACTTGATGTCGACTTTTCCATCTTGATGCACACTTGCAACGCTCTGCCGTTGGCCGGTTTTATTTTCAGCAGCAGCCTTGCTAGCAATCTCCTTCAAAGCCGGTGCTTCAGTTGCTTCCACCGCCGCTCTAGTGACTCCTGGAGTGGCATCGGCGATTTCATTTACCTCCCCGTCCGTTAGTATATCGTTAATGCGTGCAGCCCTAGATTGCACAAGCAGGGTAGTGGGACCTTGGAATTGCAAAAATAGCTATTTTATAGGTGATTAGCCGATAAGTCACAGATTCAACATTGGTTTGAGCGCTTACTCTATCACCCCAAATAGTCCTTCTTGTCCATGTTCTGAAAGTATGGAAAATCTTCATCAGCGCCATCCAAGTGTCTGATTTTGATAGATTTGACACAAGGTTAGTATTAGATAGGCGTTTTCCAATACCCAGATTGGGCACCTGGAATCTTAGGGTCGTCGACTTGAATCTATAAGGCTGCGGAGGAGTCTGTGTCATCGTGTAGGCAATCACGTTCCTGCATACAATACATTAGTGTATGATTAGTGTATGAGGGGAAATTCCAGACTAGTTCCACATACCCTGGATGAGCGATATACTGCTCCCCTTCTTTGAGATTTATAGAGTATATTTGTCCCTTCCCAGCTAGTGCAATAAGCCCTCGTCCTGTAACCTCAGAATTTCCCCAATGCATTATACTCTTCCCAGATCAGCTCTCTGTACGATCATGATGGAATAAGGTAGGGTGATATATACCAACTGACTGTTGATTCTTGGCTTTACTGTCAGCGAATGACCCGTCCACGCAAGAAGAGCGTTCCGCTGCGCCAGCATCCAATCCACCGTTCCATTGAGCTGTAGAAGAGCGAGCGACGTCACGGGAGATTTTACGGAAATTAACGCAGACACGGGGCTAGTTGAGGATATCTACCGACGGAAATGGTCAGAACCAAGTAAATTTATGACGAGAGAAGGACTTTCTAACCTTTTGGTATAGAAACGGAATTCCAAGTGCCGCCCGCCGGAATGGCTCAAGGATCCGCAGAGTAGAAACGACCTTTTGTGATATTGCCATTTAGCCATGTATTCCAGCACTTTTTCCGTATATATGTTGACAGCCATACATTTTCTGCTTTTCCGCTCAATCCTACAAGGGTTCCACGCCTTGTATAAAGATTTTGGGATGCCGACAGGGAGACGGAAAGTAAGGAATAGGGCGAGCCGACAACTTCGAATTTGGCATCTGTAGCAAAAGGTCAGCACACGGGCTAACGTAAATCAGAAGGATACATACTAACCCGGAGATATAGCAGATCTAGCAGTCGTCGAGGCAGTGTGGAAGTTGTCGCTTTTCACCGAATCGAGTTGGCTGCTCGGTATGGCTTGGATATGAATCTGTCTCCTCCGGCCGCATCTCGGTCCCGGCTTAAGACAACTCGACGGCCTGACGCCCCTTGCGGCAATTGATCGCTTCATTGATGCGACTGTGTATTCCGCAAGCTGGGTAGACACTCAATGCCTGGCCTCTTGCTGCGGGTTTTTCGGCGATTCGTCGCAGAAATGCAACTTTCCATCAGGTTCAAGAAAACATGACGATGCAAACAAACAAGGCAAACAAGCTCGAAATGAGGCTCCAAACTCAATTTATCACGCAAAGGCGTGGCTTGCCGGTTGATGCAAATATCTGACAAGCCTTTTTGTCTCGTTGCTCGTGGGCAAGGCGTGGACCTCAGGACTCTTCGGGAAGAGCGGGAGAAGTGGTAGTTAGTTGTACAGTGCCTGGTAAGTGCTCTCTATGTCCAGCTGGTGAATAGTTCCGCTGACTCACTCTGTATGTAACTAGTTAGTTATAGGATCGTGGATAGACGCATGAAACAGCCCTATAATGACATCATGAAATTTCGAGAGATAGGGAAAGCGAATCACTAGAATAATTACTCTGCATTAGCTGCAGAACCTATCTTTTGCGCGACGACATGCTTCTGCGAACCGCGCAATTGCATTATCGCGTTGCGCACAGAAACCTTTCTTGGTCCCGTGTGCGTCTTTCGGGGCAGCCCGGGCAGGGACTGTATCGCCATGGAGGAGCCTGCTGCGCGTTCACAACCGGGGGGAAATTGTCGAAAGAGCAACCTGGTGATGATGCCTTGAAAAAGACTGCAAATTCTAGTAAGGGGATTGCACAGTCTGCTACGGACAAAGTACGGAATGCTGGGGAGAAGGAAATCACGAACCCTTCAAACCCAGGAAACAAGAAGCCGGGAACTTTGCTCTCGGAGACTACTGTCACCTCCAAAGAACAGAGAAAAGTTGACTGGGCCATTATGAAAGAGATGGCAAAGTATCTTTGGCCAAAGGTGGGCGCAAATTATAGTACAGTGCATTAGAGAACCTCTACTAAATGACGGTAGGATGACTGGAACACAAAACTTCGAGTCGGGATAGCTCTGTCTTTGCTTGTAGGCGGAAAGGTTTGTTGCTATGGAGCCTCGGACATTATAGTACATTCTGGCTGATCAATTTCTAGATTCTCAATGTTCAAGTTCCATTTTACTTCAAAAGCATAGTCAACTCTATGAATATTGATTTTGCGGCAATAGGCGATACTGCCTGGACAGTTGGAGGATCCATGATAATAGCATGTATGAACTTGTCCTTATCTGAGTGCTTGAAATTTTGACCCCTAACTGGAGGACACGAGTATAGATGGCGTCACAAGAATTGGAGCAACATTGTTTCAAGAGTTGAGAAACGCTGTATTTGCCAGCGTTGCTCAAAAAGCAATCCGAAAGGTTGCTCGCAATGTCTTTGACCACCTTCTCAGGCTTGACCTGAATTTTCATTTAAGTCGCCAAACCGGAGGTCTTACTCGCGCCATCGACAGGGGAACAAAAGGCATCAGTTTTTTGCTCACGTCCATGGTCTTTCATGTGTTCCCAACCGCGCTGGAAATCTCAATGGTTTGCGGAATCTTGGTATGACCACCTTTCATTAACGTACATTATATTCTGTTTGCTAACGAATTCTCTAGACATATCAATATGGCGCTAAGTTTGCTGCTATCACTGCTGCAACAATGCTAGCCTACACTGCTTTTACCATCACTACTACAGCCTGGAGAACAAAATTTCGAAAGCAAGCAAATGCAGCCGATAATCAGGGGGCAACAGTAGCAGTTGATTCCCTGATTAATTATGAGGCTGTGAAATACTTTAATAACGAACAGTTTGAAGTTTCGCGGTATGACCAGGCATTGAAGAAGTATGAAGCCGCCTCAATTAAGGTCACAACTTCACTGGCATTGTTAAACTCAGGCCAAAATATGATCTTCTCGAGTGCGCTGGCTGCCATGATGTACCTGGCATCTGATGGCGTGGCTACGGGACAATTAACAGTTGGCGACCTTGTAATGGTTAATCAATTGGTATTCCAGCTCTCGATGCCCCTCAACTTCCTGGGATCTGTGTACAGAGAGCTCAGGCAATCGTTGATGGACATGGAGACTCTTTTTAACTTACAAAAGGTCAATATTAACGTTAAGGAAGCACCCGATGCGAAACCTTTACAGCTTCGTCAAGGCGGAGAAATTCGATTCGAAAATGTCACCTTTGGGTATTTGCCAGACAGACCAATCTTGAAAAACGTGTCCTTCACCATTCCAGCTGGCAAGAAAATCGCCATTGTCGGGCCAAGTGGGTGCGGAAAATCAACAATACTTCGGCTCCTTTTCCGATTCTATGACGTGCACGAGGGCCGTATATTGATTGACGGCCAAGATATCCGCGGCCTGACTGTGTCAAGTCTGAGAAAGGCGATTGGAGTTGTGCCACAAGACACTCCTTTGTTTAATAACACAATCGAACACAACATTCGCTACGGGAAGATTGATGCTACTACTGAGGAGGTCAAGCGGGCCGCACAACGAGCCCACATTCACGACCTCATCGAGCGGTTACCCGCTGGATACGATACCCCCGTTGGAGAACGAGGGATGATGATATCAGGTGGTGAAAAACAGCGACTAGCAGTCTCCCGATTGATTTTGAAAGACCCGCCCTTACTCTTCTTCGATGAAGCGGTGTGTTAATTCCCTTGCATCTTTCGGAAATAATCTGCGGATCAGCACTTTTACTAATTCTAACTGAAACAGACCTCTGCCCTCGATACATATACGGAGCAAGCCCTGCTTCAAAACATCAACAGCATTCTAAAGGACAAGGCTCGAACAAGTGTGTTTGTAGCACATCGGCTTCGCACGATATACGACAGCGACCAGATTAATGTTCTAAAAGACGGCCATGTGGTAGAAAGCGGCACGCATATCGAACTTCTCGATTTAGGCGGCGTGTACGCCGAACTATGGACTAGTAAGTCGCTTCCCTGGCTCGGCCCTTATTCACAGCCCGCATGCTAACATGTCTCAAAATAGCCCAAGAAACCGACATTGCCACTGTATAAGGCCCGGCTCAGGTTGATAGGGGAATTGGAAGATAAAACTGGAGGATATATAGAGGATCTCGGTGATACTATACCCATTTTTCCGGTGTTTTCTTGCGCAAGGGTTCTTTCATTTTTTTTTTTTTTCCTTCCTTTTTTAAGGACGGTCAAGCGTCCAAAATTAGACGAATGCTGTGTAGATATCAATACTTTGAATGGCTGTGAATAGGCTCGCCGATGTGCTGGTTACTACTCCTTCAAACCACTTTCTAGCTCTCTGCACAGCCACTGCGCCTGTAGGAAACCAGCAACCTCGTATCCAAGTATTGTCTCTACAGGGATATATGTATTATCGGACAACCAAGAGCTTCAATGACAAGAATGCCAATCAAAAAATACGTACTATGAGATCACTTGCTGGTCAGGCGATGCTTATGTAATATTTACCAGTGACCGTCGTGAACTTCCCCAGAGTTTCTTCAGCGTCCACCTGCATCTCAAGGCAGATTTGCCCCGTCGATATTCATTTCCATTTCTCCGGCCCTGGGCCTGCAGTACCCTCTTTTCCTTGCTATTACAGGGCCCCCTCTCCTCCCTTCGTCGCGTGTCTCGTCTCGGTGCCCTGGACTTTGCGGGAACTACCACGGCCAGTGACCCAGTATCCAGATATGCTTGAGCACAGGAATGGACTTCGAAGCCAGCAGTTTGAGAACCGAAGAACAGTTCTGGGATGGTGAGTAGAGACATCTCTGTGGATCTATCCGTTCGTGCGCTTCTAGGGGGATGGTCAATCTGTGATTATTATAATGATATGCTAGTTTTGAACTTGGTTGGCTAACCGAGTCTCTTCGCCGGTAGAATTGGACGACGTTCTAAAACGGCAATGCGATTCACACGAGGAGATCGATGATAGCTTGCGCACATATTTGTCCTTGCTTGAGAGCTGCAGAGGTATTCGAATTGTTCCTTTGCGGGCATATCTGTCAACATATCCGATTTTTCTGACACGAAACTCGCGAGTAGAAGACTTCTTCGACCCCGACCATGACATTACCCGATGTACGGAGCTGGTTTTGTCATCTCCGCTATTCACGAACAATGCAGATTATATACGACTTCAGATAATATACAGCCTACTCCAGGTATATACATATCAGATTGAGCTTTGGTACAGAACATCACATCTAACCGGGATAATTCGTTTCATAGGAAGATTCACATGAAAATCTGCTCGGGATCGTGTCTCTCCTCCTCTTCGACGGGTGTGAAAATGAAGCTACCTTCGAGATGATGTGTGAAGAAGGGGCGTTTTGTCGGCTATTGGAATTAATACAATCGCTAAGGGGCAATGACCATTCTGGTAGTGGTGTTGAAGCTAGCCTGCACCGGTTGTTAATGGATCTCTTGTATGAGATGTCAAGGATACAGAGGGTTAAGATAGAAGACCTAGGTGAGTCTTGGAGTGGTTAATAGTGGTTATTGGTTACCGGGTTGCTTTGCTGCCCGGTACCTGGGAGAAGCATGTTTTGATCATATACTTACATTTTTCCCTCATAGTGACCGTGGACGATGGATTCATAAAATATCTTCTACAAATAATCGAAGGGCCCCCAGAGGATCCTAATGACCCGTATCATTATCCCGTGATTCGTGTTTTGGTATGGTATCCTTTTCTCTATTTCTGGTATTATCAACTCTGACTTGACTTCTATGTAGCTAGTTCTCAATGAGCAGTTCATGGTATCAAGTCATGACCCAACCGGGGACCTGACTACAACTATGCCATTAACGAACAAAGTAATGAAAGTTCTATCTATGCATGGCAGTCTTTATAAGACTTTTGGAGAAAACATCATTCTTCTCCTTAACCGTGAAGGTACATTTTATTCCTTCTCCCCTGAAGTTCCCATAAACTAATCACATTGAATTAGACGAAACTTCTTTACAGCTTCTCACCCTCAAAATTCTATACCTGCTATTTACGACGCCCTCCACTTATGAATATTTTTATACTAATGATCTTCGTGTTCTTGTCGATATTCTTATTCGTAACCTTTATGACCTCCCTGAAGATGCAATGCCCCTCCGCCATACATATCTCAGAGTTTTATACCCACTTCTTGCTCATACTCAACTGAAGTATCCTCCGCATGATAGACGGGAGGAGCTTAGAAAGCTCTTCACAACTCTAATTAGGGGCCAGTGGTCTGATACAGATGCTGGTGACGATAGCGAAAGAATTCTTCATTTCAACGAAGTGGACGATACCACAAAAAGGCTTGTCTTGCGGTGTAGCCAGGTTGACTGGATATGCGAAGGAACTAATTGGTTCACAAAAGAGTTGTCCGAACCAGCATCGATTGAGACTTCGAGGACGAACGGTCATGCCAATACAGATTCATTAGGAAGCGTGGAAGTTCCTAGCATTGGTTCACCAATTTCACCTCAGACAAGTCTGGATGAGAATCTTCACGGACATGATGCCTCATCATCACCAAACCAACACCCGACTGCTGTATCAACGACCCTTGGAGTTGACTCTGCACGCTCTTCTTCTCATAGCATTGCAAAGGTAGCTTCTCACAAAGAGAAACCGGGCGTCGTTATACCGAGTAAAGGAGTGACTGTGGTGAAACAAAAGCCAGAACCTCCAGTGGCACGCCGTTCCAGAGCGCGTCGAAGAGCCGAATCAAAGGAGGCAGGCGAGAGGGCAAGTTCAAACCATGGATATCGAGGATCCTCGGAATCAAGGATTTCGAAATTCCATCTGGCAGAACCAGAGGATGCAGCAGAAAACCCTACCTCCGCCTCCTCTCCTGTTCGTAAAATTGAAGACAATACTGCGTGCTCGAGCCCGAAGGAACCTGTGGTTCAATCGCCTGATTCGATCACGTCCACGTCATACTGCTTCCCTCCATCCCCTGCCTCGCATAAAATTCATATTCACCACCCTAGCACACCCCCGGCAGTTCCTCCTCCTCGCAGATCTTCACACTCGGTACCTCCAACTCATCCTGCCAAATCCCATCACCATCACCACGTCAGACAACAACACTCGGCTACCCGTCCTCCGCCTCCGCCTCCACATAATCCACATAATTGTCCGCCTAACAAGCCATCTCAGAAGCCAGAACCCCCGAGAACCAGGCGGTGGCGTGCCCATCAACAGCATCAGAAACATCAAGATACCAATGGCCATGTCAATACTACGCCTGATACCCAAAACTGCAGTCCATCACCAACCGAAGCCAGCCACAACCCAACTTCATCACAGCCTCAAACACCGCGCACAAATGGCAGTACAGATATTCCTGCTACTCCAACCATAACAGTGGAGATGGTTGAGAACGAACTTCCAGAGCAAATGGAGAACGCCCATATTACCTAGGAAGGAGTTCTTTGAATTTTGCCAAATTTGTACTTAGATGCATAGCGATTTGAAATTACATCATTTCTTCCGATTACGATCGTCATTGCTACATCATAGATGAAATCTAGTGCTGTATTTACAAGTGAAGTAGAGAAGTGATATTTTGGTGACAAGGGGTATTCATTCGATGTTCTAAAATATACTAAGCTAATACATATAACCCCTTTAAAAGAACCATTTGGCCTTTAATTTTTTTTTTTTTTTTCTCGTTTTCCCTCTTTAATCTCCTTTTTTCTCCCACCTTTTAAAATTCAACAGCATGTCGTCGTAAAATATTTTCACTTTGCTGCATCTTTTCGTCTGTCATAAAATTCGAATGCTCGTGTCTATGAGCATCAATCAGATAGGCGATTACTAGATCGACCTTTAGTAGATACCCCAGTACTTCTCAGCACCAAAAGTGTTAGAACCATCTACTTTCCATGGATCATCGAAAGCAGAGAATAATAACAGCTCTCCATTGGTATCTTTGTAAGCCTGCTTTATGTTCTCGATAGCAACACGCTGGTTCTCTCTTGAAGGAAAAGCTTCTCCGTTTTGGTAGCCGCCATGAGGCCATCCGGTTTCAGTGACAATAACTCTCTTGGCTCCGTGTACTGCATTAGAAACGGCCTTGGATTGCTCTCTAACAAACTGCCCGGCTTCAGAAGCGGAGGTATGCGGATCGAAAAACGGGTGGATATTGACAGCACAAAAATCAGAGGCGTAACAGATTTCTGGGTGAGCGGTCATGGCATTGACGGTGTCGACGGCTACGACTGGTCCATTGTATCCGTTCGCACGTAATATCGCACGGGAATGATTGACGGCGTTGACGAGGGCGTTAGCTGATGCTTTTCCGGTATTAACGACTTCGTTCCCAATAGCAATGGCATAGATGTATGCCCAGTTGTTCTTTGCAGCGGCCAAGAAGATGTTCAAATCAGAGTCGACGTTTTGAATGGTGAAAAGGCCAAGCATAACTTTCTTGTTGTAAGTCTTTGCCGCATTGAGCATCATTGCAATTTGATTGCAGTCAACACCATAGGAGCGAACAATGCTATAGTCATTCAGCTTTGCAAAGTCTGCATTGACTTGGTCCTGGTTTTTGCATTTTCCATCAGCAGCATACGGGGCATAGCAGATTCCAAATCCATTTGCAGGAGTCCATTTTTCAGTAGGGTCCTTGGGAGGCGATGAAGTAGGAGCTGGGACAGTTGAGGGCTTGCTTGGAGCTAGAGACTGGGTGGATGTCGTCAGAGGCTCGGTTGGCTTAGCAGTCGTCCCTGGACCCGTAATGATAGGCTCAATCGCTGTGGTCTCTGTTTTCTTTGGCTCAGTGATAGTGGGCTGCACAGGGGGAACACCAGTTTGCTTATCAGTGCTTTTTGGCTCAGTAATAACAGGCTCCGAGGGCTTAACTTTGGTGGTAGTAATATCCTTAGTTGTTTGTTTGATCTCAGTTGGCTCCGGCTTCAGGTCAGGAATTTTCATCTCGGTGGTAGGCTCTGGCTTAGGGACAACGGTAGAGACAGAAGTGGGTATATTGGTGACCGTGGTGGTAGCCATAGTAGCGGTATTAGGGGCAATAGTAGTGCCAACATCTCCATTGTCAGAGGTAGGATGAATGGTCTTAAAAGACTTCATCCCCTTAGTTTCAATAGTAACGGTATTACCAGCATTATCAACCCAGTTGATAACCTCAGGCACCTTAACAACAATAGTATCAGTCACATAAGCGCGTTTCTCCAGGCCATAAGCATGATTGTGGTCTATAGTAGAAGAGAATAAGTGTCTGGCCTAAGGTAAGACGCGTAGCAAGGCCCCAAAGTGAATAGATATTGATACAAGAACATACTGTGAGGCCTAGCAACCACAGAGCCCGGAAGAAAGAGAGCAGCAAAGATGAAGAGATTAGTCTTCATCTTGCTTCTCACTGTGCCCAGAAGATACACAGATAGTGATAGAAAAAGGGTATCTAGAGGAGTTAATATAATGATTAGCAGCTTTATCGACGCGTCTCCAGAGCTAGCAGATCTAGATAGAACGCAGGAGAACGCAGCAGGCACAGAAAAAGGGGTAAGCAGCGTACTAGCAAGCTGCGTGCAGGCGAAGTCGGTGATAGTTAGAGGGTATTTCTGTGATATCAAGTTGTGGTGGGAGGTTGAAGAAAGAAGGGGAAGAGGAAGAAGAAGAGAAGGAAAGGTTTCAGGAGAAATAAATAGGGGGGTGGGAGAGACGCGTAGGTGAAGGAAGACCACAACAAGTGAAGTGAGGGAAAACAGAGTGAATAAAGTGATACCAAGCCAAAGACTACCAGCTTTCTCTTTTCTTTTGCTTTTGTAGCAGATATCAAGCATAGATATTAATTTGGTATAATTTGGTATATTTAATATAGCAGGGCTTCTGCTTTTACATACGGTAGATACTGGATATAGGTATATAGGTAGGGTATTAGAATATTAAATGGGTATACAGCATACCAGGAGGAGCTGGCAATAGATGTACATCTAGAGACTGATTAGCCATATATACCAAGCTGAACCATGCTAGCCAGGGAATACATACTTGAAGTCATTGCCATCACTGTCTTAATAGGCCGTCTATATCACTAGAAAATCTAGAAGTGGCCATCACATATCCACATTAGTCCATTTCGTTGATTAAAAATATATATGTACTATCTAGGAGAAAAGTACAGTGAGCCCCAGCAACGAGGGGAAGAAGGCCATAGGGTGACACTAGAGAAGAGGAAGCTAGATGTACAGGAGGAATATTAAGGGGATATTAAAAGGATGCTTGTGCTTCGTGTCTAGATTCATCTCTTTTGTCGAAGAATCTTCGTGATGGCATGACGGATGACGATGCCGGCCTTCTCGATCTCCTTTTTGGACAAGCCGGTGGTAATGCAGACCTTGAGGGCAGGGGCAGGGGGAATATGGTTCTGTTTAGAGATAGTCTCGTCAGGAACAGGCTTGAGACGGGTGATAAGCACACCATTGGCTAGCGTCTCATCAACTATCTCTTGTAAGATGTGATGCTGGTCTTCGATGGTGAGGCGTTTGGACGAAACCACTTCGGGCTTCAGCACGAGTATCATGACAGGATTCTCTGGGGCGCTGGTGCAGTACACCCAGTCACTGCGAGGATCGAGTTGGGTCCACATAGCCTTGATGTTCTCTCTGAGCTGAACGATGAGCTCGGGGCTATTGTGCAGCAACGCTATAGTCTCACTTGCCGTCGTGGCTAGCAAAGCAGTCAGGGCAGCAGAGTAGCAGTAGGCTGAGGCAGAGATGCGCTGGTGGTTGACGATTTCTTTGGATCCGGCACAGAAGCCGCCACCGCCAATGAACACTCCAGACAATGAACCAATAATCATATCAGCTTCTGCTGGGTCGACATTCTGGTGCTCGGTGATACCACGGCCAGTACGGCCAAGTACTCCAAAGGAGACACTCTCGTCCAGGATAAGTCTGAACTTGTATCGAAGTTTCAACTCGACCTACATAGGTTAGTGATTGTTAGGAATGGGATATAGCACACGAGAAAGTAAGAGTCAACATACGATCTTAGGCAAGTCACACATGTCACCCCTATCCTGGAACAACCCTTCGGTGATGATGAATCTCCGGGTCAACGGCTTCTTTGCCTGCTCCTTGGTAATTTTGCTCAAAACACGTTCCAAGTCATCCATATCATTATGTTCATACCACCTCACTGTACTTCTTGAGATCTGAATACCTTTCCGAATAGCATGGTTAACTCCCTTATCCACAACTATGATATCACCACGTTTGGAAAATGCAGGAATAACACTAGAGATCGTCGAAAAGGCCTGAGAATAGATGATACAAGCGGGAGTACCGAGGAATGTAGCAACGTCAGCTTCAGTGCGCATATGCACATCCTGGGTTCCGTAGAATCCAGGAGGTCCACACGGACCGACTCCATAAGTTCGAACGGTCTGAATGGCTTTCTCCTTCAGAGTGTCATTCGCAACGAAGTTGTAGAAGTTATACGACGCAAGGTTCGTAACAGTTCGTCCGTTCACGAGTTTAGATTTTGGACCGGTAGGGCTAGAAAGCAATAAGCGATGAACATTCTCACGCAGTCACAAGAGCCAACTCACCCCGTAAGCACAACTCGTTTCTCAACATCTTCTTCATCTTGCGCGGTCGAAGGCAAAACCAGTGGTTCTGGAGTCCAATCATCTACCAAATCATCGATTTCCTACGACACAGCTTAGCTGTCCGACCAAAACAAAGAGGCGAAGATAAAACAGAAATAATAGACAGCTCATACCTCCTCTGAAAGCGGCACAAAGTCACGTTTAGTCGAATATTTCGGCGCAAGAAGATATCTTACTGCGAAAAGGAACAGGAAAAGCTCCACAGCCGAGCGGACAGGGTCATTCTGATAGCTCGACTTGATATATCGGAGGACAATGGCTGAGCCGGGAACGCGCTGGAACTGGTCTGCTAGGACATGGAGGTATTCAAGGGTGATTCTCTGCGTCTCCTGGAGGTCCATCATGTCATCGTGTATCACTTCAGTTCGTTACTAGGCTGCAGATTTCCCTTATCGATTGGGTTGGAAATTTGGTAGGGAGAAACGGGAGCGTCGGGAGTAGGAGGACGAAGGCTGGAGAAAGCGTCAATTAACGAGAGAGCACTTCAGCCAGCTTCACCAGGCGCTATAGGGGGCGATATAGGTAGACGACGAGTTCCTCGAGCAGAGGCGGATGAAGGTTTTTTGCTCTCTCTTCGAGCTGACTTTTTTTCATTATTTGATAGCAGGAAGGATGAGATAGCATCACGTGATATTAAGGGGCTGCCATATTAATTTTCCAAACATCAATAGTAAATTAATATTTTAAATTAGCTAGCAGCTACGGAGTACTAATTATTGATATTAATAGAGTTAAGCGTCTCTGTATTTGTTTCGCTTCTTACTTTGAAGGAGACGAATATCTGTCCATAATATCATTGGCCCATGGAAGAATTATTGTCTCCGGATGGCCTGATTGGCTGACGAACGGGTCATACCCTTATGGCCACTGAAAGTTGATGCCGAGTCATTTCTCGGGGCACTCGCAAGTTGTAGACCTCGAGTAAACGGGCCGTATAACCGCATATCAAGTCATAATATGTTGAGCCTCTGATTCATTGGCCCGTTCTGAGATTCTAGTCATGGAATAGTGAAAATCGTATGTAATGGATATCGCATATCAACTACCGGCAAAGTAGAGACCCAGACAGCTTGTATATCTGTAGAAAAGTGCCGGGATGCTAAACTGATAGAGAGAAGAGGTACAGACTAGATAGATACAATTGAGTCTTGAATATCATATGCTAGATGTAGTGTTTTTGTTCGAATTACGAGTACTATTCAAGCTAGAAGGAAAAAAGAAAGGAAAATACAGACCCCCAATACCATGATAGAAGATAGAACATTAGTCTAATACAAGGCCAAAAGCCCACGGAGTGTTTGATCAATAAAGGGGGGGTGTTCGAAAGGGGTAGGAAAAGATAGCAAACTGACACAATCCAACTCCACATCTTGGGGAAAAAGGAGACAACTAAAAACACACTAGAGGGGCGTTTCATTCCATTATAGAGGTGGTGAGAAATGCAAAATGCGAAAGGCAGAAGGGAAAATAACAAGATAAGAGAGGATAGGAAATACCGTACATAATGGGGTGTTTATTTTCGCCTACAGCCCGGGCAAGCTTCGTTCGTAACATGTTCTTTTCTTTTCTTTTTTTTTTTAATCTTTTTTGCTTTTGTTTTGGTTCAGCGCACCTCCACCGGCAGATGGCACACTGAAGGGCGAGTGGGTGACACGAAATGGCGGGAAAAGATGAAGATATAGATGAGCTGCTGTTTTGCCTTTAGAAGCGGAAGAGCTTGGCAGCTTCAGTGTTCGCTGCGCCAGCGCCACCGGTTGCAGCCTTTCCAGTATGGCTGGAGCTGGTGTCATTGTTGTTAAGCCCACTGGGTTGCAACAGCTGTAGGGGGATATCTGGAAGGCTGATCTTGAGGGTCTTCATGATTAGAGGGCCGGCGATAACAATGGCAAAGAGGAAGAACATGGTGAAGTATAGAATGGCAAAGCGGATGACACGGCGCTTGCGAAGCTTCGACTGCTTGAGAGAGTAGATCGGAGGTCGGATTTGACGACTAAAAAATTGTAAGTATAGGGAATTACAAAGAGGGATTGCGGACTGTGCTTACCTTGGTCTGAGCCAGAAGAGGATGACGGAGTGACCCTTGTCAACGTATGGAATACACAAGGCCGGAAGCATGAGAATCAAGATGACATGGCCGAGGATGAAGTCAGCAGCAAACATGCCGAGTTCAGTGATCTTGCAGAGGAATTCACGGCCAGGTTGAGATAGCGAATGCCAACCCATACCGTACCATTTACCAGTCCACCAGGCAATGTTAGCATCATCTTGTCGGAATTCTCTTGTCAGGGCAAGGCCAATGATGAGTTTGAAGACAAATCTCTGGATGGCAGTGACAGCAATCATTCCAGCAAGTGTACGGCTGAAAGAGAAGCCCTCAAGGAAAAACATGATTTCAAAGAAGATGAGGAGGCCGACAACAGCGAATCCGTGGGCAATGGCAGCGAGGACAGCACCAAATTTCTTGCAGCACATGCTGAGAATGGGGCCCATACAACAGGCCATGCCGAACATACCAAGACAGACACCTGCGTTGAGTGCGATAGGGCCAAGAGCAACAAGACCAACACGGATAAGGGAGTTGGTTGGCTGAATCTTGTGATCGGGGTTGTTTTCCTTTCGAACACCAGTCTGAGCGTTGATGAAGAGGTATGGAATGAGAGTTACAGCGACAAGCACCAATGGGCCGACAATTTCACTGAAAAAGATGTTGGAGAACTTGGCTCGTGGGATATCACCAGAGAGCTTCTCAGATGGGGAACCAAGGACCTTGCGCTTGTAACCGGTGATTCTTGTACGCGAGAGACGGCAATAGGCGATCCAAGAGGAGGCATGAGAACGCGAGTTACCACGGGACAGCCATCTCAAATAGTCACGGTAATCAATGAAGAAATCATTCCAAGAGAACTGGTGAGGGTTGAACAAGAAGGGCGAAATGCAGAGAGCAAGGAGCGATACCCAGAAGTACAACAAGCCAGGCAGCCAGACGGTGGCAGTTGCGAATAGAAGCATCATCAGCGATCGTGCACCAAGGTAGATGGATGGACCAGCGAAACGCGAGTAAAGAATACCGAACGGAATACGAGCGGTAGCAAAACCACGACCAGTACCAATATATCGGGCACCACCGAACGACAAGTTGTTGTGAAGAGAGTTGGCGTAGATCTGACACACGAACACTTCGAATAGAGGAGAGAAGGATCCGAAATGCTTAGCCAAACGAGTAGCAGCTCTCCAGAAACCACGCTCAGTCAACTCTTGAACAACCAGCGGCAAGAAGGATAGCAGGAAAACGATGCAAATAGACAAGATACAACGGTTGACCCAGTCCTTGATGGGGTTGAGATCAGCACATCCAGTTGGCATCAGTTCGTCGGTAATTGGAACACCCTTCTTAACCTGGCAAAGGATAGTCTCATGTCTCAAGGCTCCAAGGTTGATAAGACAGATCATGAAGAGCTGCACAGACAAAATGATGAAGATGTTGTTGATGTGGAAACCAGGATGGGCATAGAAGAAGGACAAGAATCTGTCGAGCGGCAATTGGGTTCCTAGGTAGTAGTATTCACGAGAAAGCATCTGTTCACCCATACCAGTTCCGATTTTGGTGGTGAAGTTAAGAATAGAGCCAAAGCCAAGATCACGACCCTTACCACACTGGTAGTATTCACAGTGCTTGATACGGCCACCACGGAGCAGAGCATTCATACCGGCGTAAATATCCTCGTTAAGATGCAGACCCTTTTGAGCTTTGGAGACACCACCACGGGTATTCATGAAGATAGCGTTAAGGAAATCAGGATGTCCGTAGTGAAGCTTGCCACCAATCTGAGCGAGAGTACGAGCGAAGAGAGTACCGAATGTCTGTTCCTTTCCGGCAGCAACGTCACCGAGAATACCAATGTTCTCAGAGAAAATGTATTCACGAGCTCCAAGAATGGCAACAGGGTCAAAGTTCACTGGTGGAAGACCTGGAGTGTATGGAGAGATGTTTTCAGTGGTCATTTCCTCGAATTCAGCAAGCACACTTCGAATCTTCAAGCATTCTTCCAAGTAGTTGTCCTGGTTAGCGTCGATAAGCTGGATGTATTCACCACGGTAGAAGATAATGGCATGGTTCTGGTTGTCAGACTTTCCATCACCAAGAATTGGGTTACCAGAAAGCTGGACTCTGAACTTTGGTCGTCGAAGGCCGTTCTCCAGGATTTCAGAGTGTCCATCGATGAGGGCAGAGAACAGTCGGGGCTCCTCACCCTCATTCACCGGAGGCTCTTCGTCAAGATAAGCGATCTGAAGGTCGGGGTAGGCACGGAGCAAGAATTCAGTGTTTTCACGTTCTTCTTTGTTGAACTTGGCGAATCGCTGCATGGAAACACAAATCTTGAACTTGCGGCGCGCCATGCGTTCCAATTCACGTTCCAATTTGTCAGAGTTACCGCCAAACATTTGGACAACCTCGGGGTTCTCAACACGGTAGAGCAACTTGATAGCACGGCTGTAGTTCATGAATCCAGAAATGGTACGGTACAGAGTCTGAGAACGGAGGGAAGCCCAGATACGAGTACGGAGAGTGTACTCGGGAGCAGCAGACTTGAAACCGATGCAGTAGAACGGAAGGTCATTAATCTTACTCTTCTGAGCGTCCTTGGCATTCTTCTCATCATCTCCGTTAAACTGGGAGGTCTCATCAGCCAGAATCTTGGTATCTTTGACGAAGCAGTCCCATTCGTGTGGATGAAGCTGTTTAAGGTATTCCAACAGGGTGACACGGGAGTATGGCTCATCTTCACGGATAATCTCACGCAGGGACAAGAGAATCTTTTCACTGTAGTGGGGAATCAGGACAGTGAAAGTTGGCATGTTGTCAACAGGTACCGGCTCTGGGATTGGAGTAGACAGAGACTGGGCAAAGAAGGAGATACGACGCTCGGCTTCGCTAAGAGGAGGGAAGAACTCGGTCTTGAAGGAGTGATCTTCCTGAGAGACGAAGAAACTTGGGGCACGGAGGGTACGCTTTCCTTCTTGCTCGGATGGAACCTGATGGTAGAGGAGCTTTTGAACGTGGTCGATAGCCAAGAGATGCTCACGGTACATAGAAATGACAACTGCGTTCCACACCTGGGAGATAAGGACCTTGGGTTTGTATTTGATTTCCATGTCGGTGGTAGCAAGAACCTTAGAGTAGATACGCTTTGGCAGGCGAGAGAAGATATTCCTCCATGGAGTCCAGATGGAAACACCAAGGTAAAAGGATCTGGCAACGGAGAAGATGGCGTTGAGAATAATGTACCACAGATAGGTATCCAAGAAAAAGAGGACTAGATCGGTGAAGAACATGAGTCCAAGGAGAATCTTTGGCTGGTACTTGCAAAGAATGTCCTTCAAAATCGCGTCACCATGACAGATACCGATCCGGGTGTTGGACAAAATTCGAATAGGATCCTTGAGCGAAAGAGTCAGGAAGACGTAAGACTCTCCCAGCTTAGCTCCGAAAACGCAAACCCACAATCCGTAAGACATCCATCGGTCATTGCCTCGGAGGCGAGGATAACTGGCAGTGAATGTCTGACTGGCAACATACTGCCGGGAGTTTCGCTTAAGGTAACTTCCGAAAAGACCACCAAGCGGCATGACCGAGAAGAAGATGAACGTAATCAAGGCGATGAAGAATTGTGCAATTCCAAGAGCAAGAGCAATCTTGTCCTTTCCTGCATCCTGACTGATGAAGAAGACATAAACGCTAGGTCCCAGGTTGACAATAAACACAGCAAGCAGGAAGAGAAGACGTTTCGACAGATGCTGCGCACCAGCCCATTGACGAGGAACATAGCACCATTCAGCAAGGGTAGCCCAGACGTTGATGAAAGCAGCAATAGCACCACCGAGACCAACAGCAGACCAGACGGCAGCAGCTGGCGGGGACTCGTTGCCTTGCTGGGTATAATTCTTGGTGTAGAGAGTCTGGGAGTTGTAGGCAGTGTAGAACCAGAAAGCAGTAACATGGATGATCCAGATACGGTTAAAGTTGACAACCATGTGGAACCAAGAGCGAGTCTCCTTGTAGGTCTTGAAGAAACACTTCTTCCAGTTGACATCTTTAAGCTTGTTCCACCGCTCGGCTGGAGGAACATCAACGAGACGGGTCTTGTCTTCGAGAACGATACGCTCGATACCCTCTGGGTACCAGAAGAGCTGGTTGCAGTCGTCGTAGCCAATAATCTGAGCGTGGTCACGTTCGCGACGGACATACTTGCCATCGACAATCTCGTAACCCTGGTCACGGCAGTACTGGTACAGCGGAGTGATGATCTCGTTGAGGTAAGTGAATTCCGGAACGGGCTCGACACGGTTCTGGCACTCGGGGGAGCGGAGGTAGTCGTCAGCACACTTGAAGATGAAGCAGAGACACTCTGGCATGAATCTGGTCTGGTTAGCTTCACCCCAGCAGAGCAGGTACAAGGCGATTTGGCGAGCTCTGTCATGCTGAGACATGCGGTTCATCCGGGTCTTCCATCTGTACTCGGCTGCCTCGAGACTGTTGTCACCTTCTAGGGACTCGAGCGTCTCTGCCTCGTCCTTCTGCTCCTCACCGGCCTTCTTCTTGGCGGCCTTTCTGGCTTTGCGAGTACGTCTGTTGGTCTTTCCAAGTTTCATGTTGGCAAATCCAACGGCATCGTCGAGGTCGAGATGGGCAGCAAAGTACCAACGGCGGTAATTGGCATTCTCACCGCCAATGTAGTCGGCGTGGAGAGAAAGCAGAGCCTGGTTGGGAGTCATACGAGAGGCTCGAGAGTCGAGCTGCACCATGAAGTGATCGTACATGTTACGCATGCTGTCACGCTGGAAACCAAACTTGTTGACGAGGTCTAAGAAGATCTCCTCGATCTCCTCCTTGGAGAGTGGGATCTGAGCGTCAGAAGTCCATGCGGGATAGGGCTCGCGGGATCGTTGGCCCATGGGAAGAGCATCCGTTCCGTAGATGGGAGTGGCAGCTCCGGAAGATCGGTTTCCGTAGGAGATCTGAGAGGATGGAGGTCGGTATCCTCGGCCACCCATCTGGCTCTCGCTGTAGCTGTTGTACCGTTCGTCACCACGGCCGTAGTAATCACCATCACCACCACGGGCATCAGACCTCATGGTAAAGTCACTGAAGGTCTCCGAGTCCTCCTCGGAGTCATGGGGACGGCGTCTTCCACGGCCCTGGTTGTGGTCTCCAGCTCCCTGATCGTAGTACTGGTTGTCGTAGTAGTCATCCTGGTAGTACTGCTGCTGGTTGTCATAGTAGCCATCCTGAGGATAGTGCTGATCACCACTGTAATAATCACTTGGAGCAACGCCATTTCAATTAATGACCCGACTAATTCAAACATGGGGAGGGTAACTTGAGGTTGACGGTGGGAGGGGGGAAGTGTGTGCTTACGCTCTGTCGTAGTAGCCATCACCCTGCTGGTGCTGGCCCTGGGGGTAATCATATTGGTCGTAATAGGCTCCTCCATGCTGGTCCTGGTAGTAGGAGTCTCCGTGACCCTGTCCGTGGCCGTTGTAGCCATCGTCATAATGGTCCTGCTGGACCGCCTGGGGGTGCGGGTGGCCGGACATCGTGCGATGGTCTGTCAATTCACACAATCACTGCGCCCGTCAGTCCGAGTTTCTATACTCACCCAGCCACAGACAAAGCACAAAGGAGACGAGCACTCACCTTAACACGAATCCATGCAGTTGATTTGGTGCAGCGTCGAGAGAAGTTCTTTGTGGGCGTTGGATATGCAGTCGTGACGTGACAATCGTGAGGGTGCAAATGAAACAAGCCCGCTAACACCAAAAAAAAAAATTAAAGAAACCGAGTCTAAACTAGCGATTGAGCGTGAAGAATCGTTTCTCTGACGTCTTTCCTCTATGTCTTCGCGTCTTCTCTTTTTCTTTTCGGTGTCGTGATAAAAAAAAAAGCTCGAGATGCTGGCGGTTTGATGTCGTCCTTTTTTTTTTTTCTCAACACTTTTTTTTCCTTTCGTCGGTAGCAAGAACGAACCACCTGAGCGAGCAGTCGACACTCACTCTTCCAACCAGCAGAGAGAGGAAGAAGAAGAAGCAGAAGAAGAAAAGAAAAAAAGAGCGAAAAGATCGAGTGCACACAACGAGTGACTTCGGTGCGAGACAAGAGAAGAGGGTGGAGGAGGAGGAGGAGGAGGAGGAGGAGAGGGTAAAGAGGGAGGGTAGAGCAGAGAGTCGAGACGGGGAGAGCGAAGAAAAGGGAAAAAAGGGCGGCAAAGGACAAGCAAGAATAAGAAAAGAAAAGAAGCAAAAAAGGTGACGATAGAGAGGAAAAGCAGGAGACTTGACGTGTCGACGATCAGCCTGCAGGAGATTTAATATTCCTCGCTGGCTTTCCTTTTTTTTTTTTTTTTAATTTATTTATCGTCGCTATGCGCTGGCTTTGCTTCTTCTTTTTTTCTGCCTGGAGATGCTTCGTCCGATGGCTTCTGCAGTTTCTCTGCGGCTTCGTCGTGCCTGAAAAGACTCGCGAAAGAGGATCGCTCTGTCGGCTTCCACAGCGTCGTCGTCAATTGACCGGATTTCACAGGAAGAAGAAGAAAAGAAGAAGGGAGAAAAAAGGTAAAATTACAGGCTGGCGCTTTTTTCCCTCGATCTAATCGTGTATTTATGCTTGTTTATTGCGTACTGACATTACGACATCTCTGCATTACTGTAAATTACAGTCTATCTACAGCTGATATCTATGTATGGTTACTGTAATACTAGTACGCGGCTGGTGATACAGGGGCGAGGGATCCCCAGCCAACCCAGATGGCGGCCCCCTTAGCTCTCCTGGCAAGCCTTTCTGCCTCCTCTGGATGGAGATGGGTTTTCCCCTGGCCCCACAGGCTCCTCCTGGATGATTTCCTTGGGATGGCGCAGGCCGCCGGCCGCTGGCGAGGCTGGTGCAGTCCAGTCCAGTCCAAATTCCCCTGCTAAGGGGGGTGGTGGGCGGACGAGGGAAGCAGGGCCGCCGGGCGCTTCGGGAAGACCAACCAGCACCACGTCAGGGCTTCAGAGCCCTGAGACCTTCGAGGCTAGTCCAGTCGTACTACTCCGTACAGAAGCAAGCCCTCTTATATAGTTCGCTGGTAATAGTTCCTAAACGTGGACAAACTGATTCACATAAACCAGTCAACCAGTTGTACCACGCCGAACTGGCGCGCGCCCCGGTCGACTCGCCACCTGGTTCAGCCTGCATTCAATCAGGGCATTCCAACCTCCAGGCGAGGGCATATCACTGGAGATTGCGATACATCGGCCCACCGCCAGATCTTGCCTGTTGCTGCTGCTTGCTTGATTTGCTTTTTCCAGTTGCTTTTCTTTTTTCCCTTCGTCACTCCTCACTTTCTTCCCTCTGTTCTGGTGTGTCTGATGCTTACACATCCTTCAAGTCGAGGGAACGGACCTGGTTGGACCATGGCCCGTAAAAATACTTTGATGCCGTAATGTACCTCTTGTTCCGTATCACCCTGGAACCCGCCCTCATGCCCGTTCGAATCACGCTGTATGGGCCCTCCACTGGTGTCTCACAATCGCAGGGATGAGGTGGGGTGTTTGACATTTCAAGGCTTGGGGGGGCGTCTCGCGCATTTCTTCTTCCTGCTCGCTGGGCTTATTTTTCCTCATCGGCTTGCCACTGTGGTTCGCGGCCTCCATCGCGTCTCCAGCCTGTGGCGGTGCCTGCAGTAGTCGTTTAGAGCCGTCATCTTCGAGTATGCCTCTTCACAAGCATAAATATAAACGGGATCCGCGAGCCTCCGGCCATCGGTTTTGATAGCATAAGTGAGTCTCACTCAGACTTGGTATCTCGAACCCTCGACTTCTTGATGTCTCGACCGTCCGTGACGATGTCTCTCTTCAGCTTCTCGTAGTCTAGTCTAGTCTCTTGTCTCTCGTCTCTCGTCTCTCGTACTCCGTACTCCAATCGTAGTCAACCCCAGGGCATAATACCATCCATGGCCAGTGACCTGCCAGACCAGAACCGTCAGCCGAAGAACGAAGAAGCGCAGGGAGCGCACCCTGTAGACCAAGCACTCCCAAGAAGAGCTACTTTACCGCCCATCCTGACGGCCACCCCCCCTTGTCTGCCCGTCTATCTCTATCTAACCGCCCGTGTCTTCGTCCGCCTGGCTCGCCTGTCGCTGCTTTGTTTGGCTGCGTGTTTCATGCGTGCTGACTACGCAAGCCCCTTTTCCCTGTCCTGTCCACGCAAGCTGCAGCCAACAAAAAAGGTTAACGTGACTTTCTCCGGGTTTCTCCAGAAAGGAAAAACAACATCTTCAAATTCTTTCTTCACTCTCGCTCTTCTCTCCCTTCTCCTGTTCCGAGAGACCTCTTCATCCATCTTCTTCACACTCGTTCGAGTCCATTCTCCGGGGCGACTACTTTCTCTTTCGTAACCGCTCTCGTTTATCTTCTTTTTTTTATTTCCCCATCTCCTTTACGCTACGGCTCCTACTCTCGCTTTTCCTTGCACCTTTTCGTATCTACAACACGCGAGAGATTAAGACATTGTTACCATGAAGTTGTCCTCATTGGCGGCCGCTACGGCCTTGGTTGCCGGCTCCGTTGTCGCTGCTGACCTCGATCCAATCGTCATCAAGGTTGGTGCCCGTTCTGCGTTGATACCTGGCTGGCCCAGGGAGGTTTAATAGGGGGAAACAGCAGAAGGACTGAAGACTGACAGTCGATATTGGAACTATAGGGAAGCAAGTTCTTCTACAAGTCAAATGGCACTGAGTTGTACGTTGCATCCATGCCCCGTCATATGTCGTACCTCTTGACATCGTTGCGCTAATTCGACTCTTATAGCTTCATGAGGGGTGTCGCCTATCAACGTAAGTGGACGACTTGATACCATACACTGCCTACCAAGCTCAACACCTAAGTGGCATACAACTTACACTCGGATAGAGGAATTCTCAACCAATGGCACCAGTAGCGATAAAAATACCTACCAGGACCCCCTTGCAGACGTAGAGTCCTGCCGGCGTGATATCCCCCTGATGCAGCAGCTGCAAACCAACACCATCCGTGTGTACGCCATCGACCCCAAGAAGGACCACAGGGAGTGCATGAAGTTACTCCAGGATGCTGGCATCTACGTTGTGGCCGACCTTTCTGAGCCCAGCACCTCCATCATCCGTGATGACCCCAAGTGGGATGATGTCCTGTACACCCGCTACACCTCTGTCATTGACGAGCTGGCCAAATACGCTAATGTCATTGGTTTCTTTGCTGGTAACGAGGTCTCCAACAATAGCACCAACACCGATGCCAGCGCTTTCGTCAAGGCTGCCGTCCGTGATATGAAGTCCTACATCAAGAGCAAGAACTACCGTGCAATGGGTGTCGGCTATGCAACCAACGACGACGCCGAGATCCGCAAAGACATGACCGCCTACTTCAACTGCAATAAGCAAGAGGAATCCATTGACTTCTGGGGCTACAACATCTACTCTTGGTGCGGTGACTCCTCTTACACTGAATCGGGCTATGATAAGGTCGTCGAAGAGTTCAAGGCCTTCAATGTCCCAGTCTTCTTCGCCGAGTACGGTTGCAACGAGGTCCAGCCAAGAAAGTTCACAGAGGTCCAGGCCCTTTACGGTGATAAGATGACCCCTGTTATCAGTGGAGGAATCGTGTACATGTACTTCCAGGAAGCAAATGACTACGGTAAGCGCCCTGTCATCTAATATTATATCCATCAGGTCGACCGCTAACTGGCTACAGGCCTCGTCAAGATTGAGGGCGGTAAGCCCAAGAAACTCCCTGACTTCAACAGCCTTCAGAAGCAGATCAGCAAGATCAAGCCCTCTGGTGTCCAGATGGATTCTTACAAGCCAACCAACACCGCTCTCAGCACCTGCCCCAAGAGCTCTACCTGGAAGGCCAGCGTGAAACTCCCACCAACCCCCAACAAGGACCTCTGCTCCTGCATGGTCAAGAGCTTGAGCTGCGTCGCTAAACCCTCCGTCACCGGCAAGGAACTCGGCAAGCTCTTCGGAACTGTCTGTGGTAGCGATAAGGATGCTTGCAAGGGAATCACAGCTGATGCTACCACTGGTACCTATGGTGCTTACAGCATGTGCAGCCCCTCAGAGAAGCTCTCATTCGCTTTCGACCAGTACTACAAGCACCAGTCGGCCAAGGGCAATGGAGCCAACGCCTGTGACTTCGACGGCGCCGCTACCACCCAGAAGTCTGAGAAGCCATCTGGCAGCTGTGCTAATCTCGTCAACCAGGCTGGCCAGGATGGTACCGGAAGTGTTACCTCTGCTCCCGGAAGCGGCGGCAACAAACCGGACGAAGGTGCTGCTTCCACCATCTCTGCCCCATCCGTCAACCTGGGCATTGTCAAGCTCGGTGCTTATATCTTCTGTGCCGTCCTTGCTGGCGCTGGTATGATCTTGATTTAAACATCCGCGGTGTAACCAAACAAAATCCCCGTCAGTTCTTGTTCTCCATGATAGATCCCAGTAATACATGAACTATACCATTTATCCATAACCCATCGACACACTGAGCTGCTTCCTCTACCCCAACTTGCTTGCCTTCTTTGATTCCCTCATTGCTTCTTCTTTCTAATGGTCATGTCGATACTGGATCGGCCGATCCTCCGTTTTTTTTTCTCCCGCTACACCATCTGTACCTACCGTAGCATGCACTTGACTTGATTCCCTCTTCCTTTCCTTATGAGTTTGTAATAGTGATGAAAACTGAATCCTTCTGCCCCTCTATATTTTCACTTATGGGAGTAGCCCGGTAAATTGGCATCAATCGATTTCTTTCCTTAATTTTCTTGCTAAAATAAGGCTGTAAAGTGTGTAAATGTTCGGAAGGTAGCTGTGTTTGTCACTTCTCTGGTGGTTGAAAGAAGCTTTTATGCATATTTTTAGACGGTTGCCCCGCCAACGACGAAGCATCAGCCGCATCTCTAAAAGCTACGATGAATATTCAGTCGGGGAATCCAAGGAGACATCAGCATATTCCTTACTCACACTCGATGATATTCACTTAGTGGACTTCTTTGGCTTGGTTTTCTCGAAATACCCCCTCATTCCACCTATTCAGAATGGCGAGACTTTATACAAAACCAAAGGAAACAGATCAAGTGGCGAAAAGAAGCACCAAAGGCGGAGGAAGAAAAACTGTAGAGAATGAAGTAGTGGCCAGACCTCAATCTACAGCCGGTGACGATGAGATGCAGGAGAAGATATCCTCTGAAAGCGCAAGAAAAGTGGAACAGAATGAGAGCAAAGATGGCCCTAGACGAACTGTTAGGTCTAGGAGGCACATCGATGCCCAGGAAAAGCTGATATCCCAGTTATCTGATTTATCCTTGACCTCGAAGAAGAAGGGAAAGATATATCGAGAGAGAAATGAGGAGGAGGAAGTGGTTGAGAGGTTCAACAAGTTGGAACTTCAAGGGGCAGATGAAGATGACGAGGAAGACATGATGGAGAAAAGGTTACCTGACGAGGAAGATCAAACGGACCTGAGAAGAAGATCTCGCCGTACATTCAAGAAGAATTCTAGTTACAGTGATGAAGACGAAGAGGAAAATGAAGAGGATAGTACCATGGGACGTGATGAAGGGGATGATACTGAGGATTTCGATTCATTGGATGACTTTATTGTTTCTGATAATGAATCATTGAGCCTGTATGAGGACTCGGAATATGAAGATGAAAAGGATAGTGATGAAGAGGGGGGAAAGGAAGAAAATAGCAAATTTCACCCTTCCCCTGACCATCATCTAGATTCTGATGCTGAAGCGCAGTCTGAACCACAGCATCGGCCACGCAGAAGACTGTTTAGGGGTAGAAGAAAGCAGCGCTGCTCAACTTCATCTCATATATCAGATAATGAAACTTGTGAGGGTTCTGACAGACATAACAATACCCCAGGTTCTAACACAGAGCCATTGTCATCCAACAACATGGGGAACAACACATCTTATCCTGGTAATCAGGAAGAAGATGAGAAGGATACAGCCATCACAGCTGATATTCTGCTGGATTCCAGGCCATTTCTCCCAGCTCCAGCATCTCCTAAGTTATCAAAAGAGCCTAAAAATCAAAACAAAGTATCTGTGGACTCAACTACTACAAAGAACACAAATAGCCGAGCCATAGATAGCTCTCAAGGGTACGGAATGTTCCTTTCCAATTGACTTGATCTGTATTTGGATATCAATTCTTGTCACAAAATATGTCTGCTAACCTGAAAATAGGACGCCCCCTTCTTCTGCTGAGTCTCCCGAGCAAGACAGCTCGAATATGGACTTCGTTACTCCTCCAACCTCCCCTACAAAGCCCCGGCTTAAATCTCCCTCAAAGACACAGAAGAATCGCATTCCTCCATCCCCTCACAAATCCAATATCGACATGTTTTGGGACCAAGAAGCTGTCAATGAGTGGAATGACAAGTTCTCTCCTCGAAAGATGAAAGCTCCTAATTTCTACAAACGGCATTTTGATATCTTCTCTGACACAGAGGGTGAGGATGATGACGATAAACAGACATTTGGTAGTCGGGACAACGACTGTGTGATTACAGATGTGTCGATTCCAAGGCACCTGGGCACTCCTGAACCTGATGCAATCGGTGACAAGTTGCCTCTACATACCTCCCCGATCAAAAACAATGCTAGCCCGGGTAAAAAGCAAGCCAAGGCATCAGCATCGACGAAGAAGGCATTGGCTACCAAAAAGCGAGAATTCGATGAACGAAAGCATACTCTTGCTACGAACTTCTTTAACGACTTGGATACTATGGTGACTGGGGGCGAGATTTTGAAACTCGCTAAATCTGCTGGTGGAGTAAACATTGTTTGGAATAACAAATTGACTACCACGGCTGGTAGAGCAACTTGGAAAAAAGAGTTGATCACACGCAACAGAGATTCAACAGAGCAGCTTCTTATCGACTCTTCTTCAGCGAACCTCTGTTCTCCGAATACTTCTTCTTCACATGCAACACCCTCGGCATCATCTTCAACTACCAACTCATTACCTACAGATGAACCTTTGATATTGTCAAGCAAATATTCTGCCCACCGTTCAATAAGACACAATGCCACAATTGAGCTGGCAGAGAAAATAATTGACTGTGAGGGCCGGCTGCTTAACACATTGGCGCACGAATATTGTCACCTAGCCAACTTTATGGTATCAGGTGTTCTCGACCAGCCTCACGGCGCAAGTTTCAAACAATGGGCTAAAAAGTGCAAGACAGCGCTCGACGCTCATCCAGAGTACTCTGGCAAGGTCAAAATTAGCACGAAACATTCATATCTAATCAATTACAAATACATGTGGTGCTGCACGACTTGTGGGCAGGAATATGGTCGACACTCAAGGAGCATTGATCCGGTAAAGGTTCGGTGTGGCAAGTGTTATGATGGGAAGCTATTGCAAGTTAAGCCAAAACCAAGGGGGAAAGCAAAAGTGTAAGAGGCATGATAACGAGCCTGGACAAGGTTTGAATGATCTCATGATGTACGATGCTTCTATGGGCGATTATACCAGGTGTTCAATTTTCTGGCTTTGTTTTGTTAGATTTCTTTAGTTGGCGACTACTCTTTGCAAGGCCTTAGGGTTTTATCACTTGCTGACGAATTCAATGCATCATCCATTATCGTACGATTGCAATTTTGCTGAGTATCAAGAGCTTGTATTAAATATCTAGACTGGATTGATTATAAACGACATTGATTTTTCCTTTAATATACATAGTTTTGTTACTTTTTGTCCTTGGGGATAAGGCACTTTCCCCACTTCCATCCCTTCGTACGCTCACTGCGCTTATTCCTGATGTGCATGCGATTATTGATCTGGCAACTAACCTCCGAAGAGGCTATAGTCAATAATTCCCAGGGACCGCATCATATTGGCCATGATGTCATGCGCACGCATTTCCTCCTGGGCAACCGCGCCGGGAACTCCAGACTCCTCAAGCATATCGTGAGGGACATTGATATAAACAAGGATATCAGTGCCATACTGAGCGAGCCGTACAAGGAAGAAATGGCAGGTTGAAGTTGATTCGTGTTCGGTTATTGGTGCAGTAACGGTCGTTCCGGCGGTACCAGCCGTACCAGTTGATGTTGACGTTGATGTCGATGTCGCTTGCTGCGTAGACTCCGAGAGCATGTTAAGCAAACGCTGAGTGTCGGATATTTTCCCCTTGGCGGTCACCAGCGCCTGGCAAGTATATGCTGGAGAAGGTATGAGCTGAACTGGGTACGGCTTCGGCAGATCGAGGATCTCGTAGGTGTCCCCATTGGAAGTGCACATGTCATGGAGATGATACAGGACAGCACTGAGCTCCTCTTTGTTGGTATCTGAGGATGTTTCCAACTGAGCCACCACCTCTTCAGGCAGGGTATATGAGCCCGGCTCCAGTCGTTCGACCAGTTCGATGATGATGTTTGTCTTTGTGGAGGTTGACCGGAAGACCTCCTGGTTGTCAGGGATTGGATAGATAGACCTTTTTATGATTGAATCCGTCGGGTTTTCTTAGCAGGATGTCTCTCTTGAGTATGATTTATGTTTCGATGCCGTCCTCGCTCAAATTTGGGCTTATCGTTCAAATGTCCACTTGGAGTGCTGGTCGGGAGCCCAGCAGGCAGCAAGCCCCGCCGCGGGGTGGTGCAAGCGCAAGAAGCAACAACGGTGGCCATATAATATATAGAAAGCAGGGCAGCATGGGAAAAGGGGAGAGGGAGAGAAGTAGAAACAGGGTAAAAATGAATTATATCTTACCCCATATTTGTGAATCCCTTCGGTATCAGTACCTTCATCGCGCCACCATAGAGCTCGACGAGCTCATATCCCGTGTCAACATTGGCAGTAGACTCCGCCATACTGTAGCCCCCTTAGAGAAAAAATCGACTAGTTCGTGTAAGAGGAGAAGCAAAGGGGATTCTCTCTGTTTGAAATATCTAGGAGTAGGAGTTTTGAAGAGGCAGAGGTGCAAGCTTGCAGGAGCCCTTAATATATATAAAAGAATATTTTGAGTTTTATAATGGCAAAGGAGTTTTATAACGAGCCTAACTACCTATTTGTCAGACAAGAAAGACTGAGAGAACTTCAGGCTCAGGCATCAGGCTCCAGCTCTTCGTCCCGATCTTCAGAGTGGAGTCGAGAGCAGTCGCGGAGCAAAGGGATACACGGAATAACGCAGTTATTGCTCAAGGCAGAAGCGCAACAGGCATTCTTCAGACCAGTGGAATTGCATGGCGGTATATAAAACACGGCTTGTCCCAGGATTCTCAAGGGTCTGGAGCCGGTCTACCACTGTCAATGGCCAACAGGATGGGAAAGGTAGCTGGGCATTGGTTGAGCCCCTAGATCTCTGTCATCTAGGCAGCAGGCAGAGGCACAGGCAGCAGCCGTGGCACTAGGCAGCCACCGGGTACTGATTCGGGACCTTTCTCTTGCATAGCCCGGGTTTGAGGGCTTTGTGATGGGAAAACCATTAGGAGCGATCTTTGGAAGATCTTGTTCGTTGATGTATTTCTCTAATTTAATTTACAGGCAGAGAGGCAAGGAAGACGCATGAGATATTTAATGCGTGCATAATGTACTATGCGGGTGAGGTCTCGACAGGGGCCCAAATGGATGCGGAGTGCAGGTAGCGGAGATGCGAGATTTAGTTACAGGAATACCTGTAGATGTATATTGCTTTATAATATTTAATATCAACTAACCCATGTCTACATTGCAAAGGTAGATGTATGTACATAGCTGAGTATTGTAAAAACATGATTTGGTGGTGCTGTGGCTTGAAAATCGTTCTACACGCGGAGAAATACCCTATTAAGAATATATCAAGCGGTAACTGGCTTCGTCCCGAATCATTCCCCGTCAATAAAAGGACCCTTACTTCAAAGGGCAATTCCGAAAGCCTTTTTTCAGCAACGTGGTCCGACAACCACGGCTAAACCCGTAATGAAACGGACCGGCCTCCTGTTTTACCAGGAACACCGGTTTGCTCATGTAGCAGGGATCATAACGTGTTTGAGGACCAGGAGTCAAGAAGAGACATGAAAGGAAATCATAGATCCAACAGATATTCAGCATATATGTCAAGCTCGAAAATCCGAAATCTAGAGCCCCATTTATCGCGAAATGATTTCCGAGTGTAAGCACGGCTGGTGATGGAGCTGAAACTAACCAGTTCGACATACCAACCCTTGCTCAACGCGCGGTCAACCATCTTCAAGAACCCATCTGAATACTCAGCCTGGGCAGCGTCACCGGTCGCCAGGATAATTGTTGAGGGAGTATCGGTGTCAACGATACTCTCCAGTATTTTCAAATGTAGAATCTCATCTACGGCTTGCTCCACCCACCTTTCGGGGGAGGCTTGGGCATTCGTCTCGGAGCTGCTAGACTGATCATAGAGTGCGCGGCGCGAGGCCTTATCTCCACCACCGCCGGAGAGTTTCGTCTTCCGGGGCGATGAGGGCTTCGCCTTGTGTACTCGTTCGAGAATGTTCGCCTCATAACCAAGCGTTTCTGCTTCGTCAATGGCGGGATACCGATCAGAGCCAACGAGAACTCGCTTGCTGACTGGCCGAGCTCGTTCGAGAACGAGGGCAAAGTTCTGGAATGATAAGGGCAATCGACGAACTCGAGTAGTCAGAGGTATGTCCCTTGACTTCTTGATGCAGTCGTGGAAGCCAACCATGATCTGTAAGAGTAGTTAGAATAAGCTTAAGCTTTGTCGCTATCGAGAGTCAAGGCATAGCAACTTACGTTAGACATATCGACAAATACGTGAATACCTGCTGGTGCCGTCTTTAGAGGGCGACAGAGGCATTCACGTAAGTTCCCGTGATTCAGGTTATTCCTGACTTTGGCATGTTTTTCTTCGAGCAACGAGACAAGAGCCTGTTGCCTTTGTATAGTAGAGCCAGTCAGGAGCGGCTCAATATGGATAATAGACCCAACTATCCTCTTGCCTTTCGGTGCTGGAGCAGCCTCGGCCGCAACGACAGCACCAGCAGTAGTAGCAGGAGGTCTGCGAAGTATGGATTTAGGCGAGACCAGGACGGTCCCACTGGTAGGTGTAGGTAGTACCGATAACCCCGCGGAATTGATGCGCTTGGGAACATCTCTCTTGAGAATCACTTTCTTAGTGGGAGACCTGCTCCCGTCAAGCTGATGCTTTAGTACTGCAGCTGCCTCTAGCACATCCTTTTTGCCACTGCTAGCATGGGTGGCCGAGTTGTCAGAGACAGTACCAAGCTTCGGTGGCGTGGTTTGGGAGAGGAAGGTAAACAGGGCGCCAAAATCTCCAAGCTTAGGTTGTGCACCTTTCTCACTCTCGGCATCCCCTAGAGCATTTGAGGCGAACGTGGCATGGTTGATAGGGCCATTTGCAGTTTGCTTTGGACTCGCGGGGCGTTCATGTTGACAGCCTTCGAGGCTAAACGAATGTAACAGACTGATTGCCGGGGTCAGATCCCAGGAAGGTGGTGATGTGTCAGGGACAGACATTAACAGCCAGAACTATAGAGGGGTTGTAGAAAAGAGGTACACGGCCCGTCGTGGGGGAAGGAGGCAAAAATCGAAGGATAACACACTTGTTATCCGTATGGAGTTGCGGCAAAAAGACGGCAAATATTGGTGTGGGGTGTGGTAACAGCAATGCGGCAGGGTGTGGCAGGACAAACAGGAACAAGGGTTAGAAAAAAAGAACTTCGCTCGAATAACGGAGCAAGAGAGGAGGCGTAAGCATCATAAGCGGGACTGGGTAGCAGCCATTTCGTGGTTGCGCTCGGCGGTTGTTGCTTTGTTGGTGACTCGAACGATAGATGATGTTGTGATGAAGTTGATGGAAGCGCGAAGACGCTTGCAGAGGCTGCTCCGGGTGGAGCACACGGATCGTTTATGGGCCTCGGCACCCGGACGCCGGAGAAACTATGATGCAAGAGGATGACTAACACGGTTTTGGTCAAATCACGTGACTTAGGACATTGGCATATGATGTAATTATAAACTCTATTTTCTACTGCATCATCATGTACCCTACAGTGTTATGCATGGATGGGAGAGATGAAAGCTCTCCACAGCGGACCTAGCGCTGAGTTTGCCAGTGTGCTTGCTCGTCATACCCCTTGAAACGACAGGCGCTGGGGAGGGCAGTGTTCCCAGTATGGATGACGACGTCATTCCAAGGTTCTTACTCAATCTGGCCCTGAAGGGATGGCTATATAAAGGTCGACGATGTCCCTGAAATGGGCTACTTTTTTTTCCCATCACCATCACACAACAAGACGAACAATCCAATCAATTCCAATCTCACAAACTCTTTTCAAATCCCTCGAAGAACACTTCTTCTATAACAATCAATCACAATGGCTGACGCTGGACGCAAAGATTTCCTTACCAGTATGCGCCTTTTCCCTCCCCCTTTTTTCAACCCCTCTTTGATATTCTAAAAAGTATCCCCTCAATTCTAACTTGCTTGAACAGAGGCCAAGGAGGAGTTGACTCCTGACAGCACCAAGTCCCAGCAGGACAAGATTGGCGAGGCTTTCACTGACACCAAGGACCGCGTTGCTCGGTATGACCTATGATTCCCGCATTCCATCCTACCTTTCTCAGCGATATATTGAACTGACATATTTCACAGTGGCCTCCAGCCTGATGACCAGAAGGGTACTGCCCAGCAAATCTTCGACAAGGGCCAGCGTGCCAGCGACAACCAGAGCGGCGGAGCTGCCCAGGCCATGTAAGTAGTGAATTGCTTCTCCTCCCCGATGAAATCCTCCCCGATGAAAACCTCCCGGGCATTGCTAATAGCTATTTTTATAGTGGCGACAAGGTCAAGAGCGCCCTTGGAATGGACACCAAGCCCGAGTAAAGTGGAGGGCCAAACAACTATCGCGCATGAGTTCCCGGGCTTGTTCTTATTGGCATAGTGATATGAAGGCTGAACACATATAGCTTCCATTCTCTCTATATATTTAAATACCACCAATTAGTTCATGATGAATATACTTTAATGCACTTATGATATTTTCTGTTCAACTATCACTCACCGTTTTCACTAATAATACATTCTGATCTGACTTCCTAAAAGCGTAAAAACGCTCCTAGAAGAGGGGTTCAATTCCGTTCAACGTTGAGCCCGGAGTTGTGGTGAGCCAACAGCTGGCCTCCAAAGAAAGCTCGAAAAACTGGGAACAACCCCTGGGATAACATCTCGCGGGCCACGGGTCTCATGATTCTGGGTCACGGAGAGGTTCAGAGAGTGGGGAGAGGTGACGAAAAACTTCACATGCTGTGCATCTCATATCGAGGAAGCTCATGAGATTTAGCTCAGAGTTTAGTTGAGATCTCAAGCAGCCGCATTTTCATCCGTCCTGATATGGTATGGTATCTTGCTAGTCTGTCCATGCTCTCAAAAAGACATTGGATAAGGGGTATCAATTTCGCCCCTTTAACTGAAATAACAGCAATGGCTGTTGCAATACTGAGACCATTATCCTTTTCCAGGGCTCTTGTAAAGTATGCTCTGTAACGTTGAGTAATCTATTCGTCGGACCACCTTTTCCCGAACTCTTTTTGTGGTACGTCGTATATGCTAAAGCTAGAATTCCTGCTCGCTGCCTTGGAAGGATCCCGGCTACATTGTTAACCTAAAAATAACGTTATATATGCCCTCTTGGTGCCAGGATGTGCCAACCCGGGTTGGTCGGTGCTGGTTGTTGGATGTTGCTCTCTGTCAAAAAGCAAATATGGAAGCGCTTTTGAAAGTCTTCCGCCTGCGCCTTCCGAGGGACATGATTACATAATACGGATTTAACCGCGGAAAAATGAAGGGCCGTGCACGCTTCGAGTAACGCCCGGACCACCCACCCGCTGCCCGCCAGGCCAACCAGAGAATAACACCCGAGATGCGAGTTGAGATATAGATAAGCTGGCTACCAGGATGGCTGCTCTTCGTTCGGGCGGAGCCGGCTCATCTCCAAATGGGATGTCCTCGACACCTCCTGCTGGTGCGAATGTAGCTCCGCGACAGGCGGCACTGGCCAATCGACTCAACTCCGCTCTGGCTGCGTCCTATGCGGACTCGGAATTCAGAGATGCGCTGGAGACATTGGACAGTAGGGGGATCCAAAATACCGCAGAGACCAGAAGAACTCTTCGACTTGACGTCCAGAAGGAAGTTATTGATTCCAATGGCAAGATAATACAGGATTTCGGCAGGGTTGCTGAGGTGGGTTTCTTTTTCATGACTTGGGGTGAGAAGCTAGACTAACGGAATGTCTTTGTATGTAGCAACTCTCTCGAATCGGCGATGTAATAGCCAACCTCAATACGATATGTCAGGACATGCGAGATCGGTTGTCAGTGGCTCACAAGGAGACTGGACCGGTACTTGAAGAAGCGTCTACCTTAACGACTAAGAAAGAGGAAGCGGAGACGAAACAGGCCCTACTCAATGCTTTCAACAGACACTTCATTCTTCCCGAGGAAGACGTGCAAGTTTTGACCTCCCTGTCGGAGCCCGTGGATGACAGATTTTTCAGCATCCTCGGCCGGACAAAGCAAATACACAAGGATTGCGAGGTGCTGCTGGGCAGTGAAAACCAAAAGCTAGGGCTGGAGATTATGGAGCAAAGCTCCAAGAACCTCAACTCCGCGTTTCTCAAGCTATATAAATGGATTCAGAAGGAGTTCAAATCACTGAACCTAGAAGACCCACAGATTGGAGGAACGATCAGAAAAGGGATCAGAGTCCTTGCTGAGAGACCGAGTCTGTTCCATAGCTGTCTCGACTTCTTCGCCGAGGCTCGAGAATATATTCTGTCCGATGCATTCCATCACGCTCTTACGATAGCTCTGTCCGGCGAAGGGGCAGATGCAAATACCAAGCCAATTGAGTTTTCTGCGCACGATCCACTCCGGTACGTGAGCGATATGCTTGCGTGGGTGCATTCCGCCACTGTGTCTGAGCGAGAAGCACTGGAGGCACTCTTTGTCTCGGACGCAGATGACCTTGCCAAGGGGATGGAGGCAGGTATCAAGAGCGAGCCGTGGTCTCGCGGGGAAGAAGGCGAACCTGTATTTGATGGCCAGAAAGCGCTACGGGAGCTAATCACCCGAGACCTAAGCGGCGTTGCTCGCTCGCTGCAGCAAAGAGTTGAACTAGTTGTTCAAGGCCACGATGATATAGTTACTATATACAAAGTGGCTAATCTACTTGCATTCTATGAAACAACATTCAGCAAGCTTGTAGGGGCCGATTCGGCGCTAGTTGATACGCTTTCGTCGCTGGAGCGCTTCGCAATGGAGCACTTTGAAAGCTTGGTTCGGGATCGGGTGAAGACTGCTTCGAATGATTCTGCTGGCTTACTACCGCCAGACGACCTGAGTCCACCGGAGTACTTTACTGAATGCATCGAGAGTCTCGAACAGTTGATGAAAGCGTACGACTCGTCCTTCAGCCATGCGGTTCTTAACAAGTCGTTTGGTGAAGGGGAGGAAGGAAACGAGTTCACGCCTATCCTTCGCTCAACGCTTGATCCGATGCTGGATCTAACTAGGAAATCCACCAATTTGCTCAAGGACAGCTTTTCTCGAACAATCTTTGAGACCAACTGTATTCTTGCTGCGCGTACAGCGGTGTCGGCGTACGAATTTGCATCCTCGACTCATCTGGGCAGCTTATCAAATACTCTCGCCAATCTACGGGCTGAGCTGCATAAGTTCCAGCACGATTTCTTACTGGAGAAGTCAGGATTGGATACCCTGCTTCGTGCTCTAGAGGGATATAACGCCCGTAGCGAGTCGGACAACAGCAGCAGCAAGAACAAACTAGAAACCGTTGCCAAATTGCCTGAGTTCCAGCCGGCTGCATTATCGGCTGTGAGCCAGCAGCTAGATGACTTCCTACCTGCAGCGCTAGTTGATGCAACTGATAACCTCAAACGGGTGAACAGTGCTGGACTGGTGAAGGGGGTAACGGAGGAGGCAGTGGAGGCGTTTGCGAGCGATTTTGAGTTTATCGAGGGGATGATTGTTGGTGCTGATGAGGCGAAGGCAAGCGTTGGAGATACAGATAAAGATGCTGGTGAAGAAAGGGATGAAGAGGAGGAACAGGAGTGGAGTTTGAGAGCGCTGTTCCCGCGTACAACGGGGGAGATTAGAGTCCTTTTGAGTTAAGATAGATGGGAAGTAAATAGAGTTCTATATTATATTATCAACAAGAGCGAAAAAGAGATCACGCCTCCCTCCCGTTCTGCCAGCAAACTACCTGGTATGGATCTCTATCTGACTGACTAACATCAATACATACACTGTCATCGGCAAAGATCTGCTTCAACACTTGTACTTCTGATTCATCGCTGTCACTCCTCCCCAAATCATTGTTGGCACGTGCCTCCCTCCATTCCCGGGCCAAACGTTCATGCAAGTTCGAACGCATGTGCCCCTGTAAAAATCCCCGTTCAGAATTTGAGTGAGAGAGAGTGATCACCACCGAACCAGCCTCTATCGCAGCCAGAGCTTCATGATGACTTAACTCACCAGTCAGCAGCAAGTCAGCCACTGGAGTTCCGTTTTTCATGAGTATCGATGACCCCGAGCCAGGGCAAGCTGCAACAGAAGAAATTGTGATATCTGACACTGAAGATCCCTGGGGTATAGCTATAGAGAAGCCTACGGTATGTTCTGTGTCGGTGCCAATAACATTAGACTGAGGAAAAGCAGTCTTTGCAATGGAGTCTATTATGTCGTTCAAGGGCAGGGGCTGTTCGAAAGTGATTTTCCTTCCCATGCCGGCATCTTGGAATTCCGGGTCTGCTGGGGGGTCGGGAGAAGGATACATCGTCTCGGTTGAGGGACGGGGTTGGACGGAAGATGGCACTGCACACTGACACAGCCAGTCTGCCATTGCGCCTGGAGTGGCATCGACGGCTGTATGTGGCGAGTAAACGCTTATTCCTTCCTGGGCGAGTCTAAGGAGCGATTGTTGTTGTGAGTTAGCGAGGGTAAGGGACTTGAGTCCTCGGAATATAATTGGGTCTTTTGCGGCAAGCATTAGTTAATTGGACCATGCCCTTTCGGTCAATGGGTTAAACTTACGGTATGTGATGATGATGGAGTCACCTCTGGCAATGGCCTCATCAGCCACGGCCTTTGTGAGATCGACGGTCAGGAGGACGGAGTTGTTGAGCCGGCGATGCTTGTTCAGTGGTGCTTCTAGGAGTACTTCGAGAGATGGTGTTAGCAAGTGGTAAACAGAATGCATATGAATCAGGGAACTAACAGCCAGTGTTATCGAAGCTCTTATCAGCAAGAGATTCCGGGTACCTATAGCAGGCCAAGGTTAGCTAGATCTCGTCGTAACCAGTGAAAGTGTTCCTTACAGCTTCTGCATGCACCTGACGACGGCCTTGGAGAAGGGAGAGCAAACGGTAGCCATCCTGGACGCGTTTCTGAGAGACGTAGCAAGCATTGGCTGTGAACGTGAGTAAATTGGTGCGAATGGACGATGACCGGCAGCGACGACGATGGATGTTGATGAGACCTTCATGGAGTCCGAGTCCGCGGTAAAACAACACAAACTACTTAAGGTGGGGCGGCAAAAGTTCTCCACATCGCGGCTAAAGTAAGCGGCGGCTAGATACAAGCGCGCTCCCATCCATTACTAATGCTCAGCGTCACTTTTTTTCTCTCTTCCCATTCCGCATTTACCTTGATCGCATCTCACGACAAGAAAAACTTTCTTATTCCTCTCTTCCGCCATCCTCTTCTCTTTCTTCTTCTTTCTTACTTCCTCTGCTTCACCACTTATGTCCTTCCGCCTCGCCTCCCGCATACTACCAGCCTTCCGCCGGCCAACCGTCATCACAACCCCGAGAAGAACCACTCCAGCCCTCTTCGGCCCAGCTTATTCATACTCTACCATGGCCCAACCGGCGCCTAACGAGCCGCAGTCTTCACCGGCCGTAACGCCCGACTCCATAAGGTCCATTCTTACAAACAAGCTTGACGCACAGCATGTCGAAGTCGAGGATCTATCAGGTATGTATCTCTTCCCCAAGCGCTCTACTCTATCTATATGAATATGCGCATCGCATGGCTAATGGGTGGTGTGTGTGTATGTGTAGGCGGTTGCGGCCAAGCGTTCCAGGCAATAATAGTATCCCCGCAGTTCGAGAGCAAGACGACGCTCGCACGGCACCGACTGGTCAACTCTGCGCTCAAGGCCGAGATAGCAGCCATCCACGCCTGGACGCCCAAATGCTATACGCCCGAGCAATGGGAGAAGACCAAGCAGTAGCGCGAGTATTCAGTGATTATTAGAGGTGGGGGAAGCACGTTGCATGCTGGAACATGTCACGATAAAGTAAAGAATAACTATCATACATGAGAATGAGAAGGTTCTTATCTACTGTCTAGTTTATCCATCTATCCCAGCACCTTTTCAGCCCGGGAGACTATAAAGCAAGCAAATCAGTCAGTATGCATGCATGGGAATGTAGGAAGGGGAGAGATGACTTACCATCGACGCTGGTGTTGTCAGGCTCGACAAAGGCCTTGACTACTTTCCCGTCCTCGACGACCAGGGCGTACCTCTTGCTCCTGTCGTTGCCGAAGACCTTGGCCGAGCTGAAGAGCAGGTCCATCTGCCTGTTGAACTCGCCTGAAGCGTCGGCGAGGAAGCGAACACCGCTCTTCTTGTGCGGGTCAAGCGATTCACCCCACGCCTTGGTTCTAGGGGAAGGTTAGCAACCGATGTATAGACTAAGTAGCTAGGGGCAAGGACTAACACGAAAGCGTCGTTAACGGAGACGACGAAGACCTTGCCTGCGTCTTTGAGCTTGGGATGGTTGAGGAAGCCTGGTACATGCGAGAGAGAGCATCCGGGTGCTGCAGTAGATCGTCAGTCAATACGGACAGTAGAGGTAGAGTAAATAGAAAGTATGGAAAGTGAGTCAAACGCACTGAAGGCGCCGGGAGTGCCGACGATGACGCCCTTGCCCGAGGCCAGCTCGGAGGCGAGGTTGACCTTGTTTCCAGGCGAGTTCTCAGTCAGGACGTCGAGGTCGGGGATGCTGTCGCCCTGGCTGACGGCGAGCGGGCGGGAGGAGTGAAATGCGCGGGAGACAGAGACAGAGAGAGAGGCCGATGCCCGGGAGAAGGGGAGTCTGAACATGGCTATGGCTATAGGGCTACCCTGCTTGGTGTGTCTTAGGATGAATTGAGGTTGCTGTTGATGCCAATTGATGTGGACCGACGTTGCTGTCGATGTTTATGTTGATGTTGATGTTTTATGCTGGCTGTAACTCGTTGAAGTTGAAGGAGAGACGAGGCTGGGCCGGTGGAGGCATCGCCAAGCAGTCGGACAGACAGGGGGACCAAGGCATGGCAGAGGATGAAGTTGAGGATGAAGTTGGAAGTCGAGATAAGATGCTCTCTAGCTGCAGTTGTTACTTGTTAACTACTCTGTTGCTGCTGACTGGTCTTTCACTTGTAGAGCTCTGCTTGTAAATAAATATAACTATCAACTGCTGGCTTGGTTGTCTATCTAGACCAAGTATATGTCTGTGGGGTAACTACTAGTTATCCACGAACAACTGCGGATAAGATAGAGCAGAATGGCGAGTTTTGGGCGACATCGGGGGGCAGAAGTGTTTGAATAACTACCTGTTAATGCCCCTTTAACTAGTTCTCTGGTCAAGATCTCAAACAGTCGTACCATAACTACTTGGAAACCAAGAGGATTAATAGAACTTTGTTACTGTATCATCAACGGCCGAGGCAGTTAACTAATACAGGTATATAGGTATCTGACGAGCATCCTTTTATCCTGAGAGTAAAGATGTCTTCTTCTTCTCTATCCTCTCTATCCTCTCTATCTTCTCTATCTTCTCTATCTCTATCTTCCTCTTCACTATCCATTCAACTTCCATCACATGACCCCTTTTAAGATCTATTGAAGCCTAAGAAGACTAAGAAGAAGGACAAGAAAAGGACAAGATGGCTAAGAAGGGGACCTTAAGAGGATGGACAGAGTAAAGTGGACTGGAAAAGAGGATAAGATGGCTAAGAGGAGTAAGAGGGTCGGGTCCTTTTTTAACTAGTTAGTGGGCAGCCTAGCGGTGGCAAGACGGAAGATAGTATAGTAGCAGTAAAGAGAAGACTAAGAAGAGGAAGACGAAGAAGAAGGAGAGAGAGAGAGAGAGAGAAGAAGCGGTGACTTGAAGACTTTCGGCAAGTTAGAGAGCAAGAAGAGGATGGCTCGCTAGGGGGGTTCGTACTTAGTTAACTAGGAACTAGGGGGAGGTTAGCTAGCCGGTGGAGAAGGCCAGGAAGAGTTTTCACAGCAAGTAGATAGAAAGGGAAGAAGAAGAAGAAGAAGAAGAAGAATAACAAGAAGAAGAACAAGAAGAAAGAGAAGAAGTACTCGAGGGTAGCCAGAGGTAGCTAGTTATAGCCATGGACTGTCTGATATTATCTTAATTATCCTTAACTTACTCCGTAGTTGTTACTGTTAAGTTGTCCAGCCAAGGGGCAGAGACAGGCCAGGCCGGATATCGAAGTCCTTGAGAAAGGAAAAGGCAAAAACATCCTCGTATTCTCTCTCTCTCTCTCTCGATCTCTCTTTTACTGTCTCTCTTCTGTCTCTTCTACTGTATCTCTCTTCTATCTGTCTATCTCTATCTCTATCTCTATCTCTGTCTCATCCGCCCCTCCGACAAGGTTGAACCACGCCCGGCTAGTCAACTCGACCAGCCAGCCCGACGAGCTAGCTAGCGTTGGCCACTCTCTAGTCTCCTAGTCTCTAGTCTCTCTCTCTCTTAAGTCTTGCTCTTAAGTCTTGCTCTTCTAAGTCCTTTCCTCCCTTTCGACATCACCGACCGTCGCCGACCTTCCTGTCCATCCCCGACTGTCAAGTCTGTCTTGTCTCTCTCAGGTCTCCCTCAGGGTCTCTCAGTCTCTCTTCCATGGACTGACCTTGGCCGGCCTCCCTCGCGACGCCCCCCTGGAGACTCGACTCGTCTCGTCCTCTCTTCCTCTTCCTTTCTTCCTCTTCTCTTCTTCTTCTTCACGGCCTGGCTTGCTTGCTTGCTTCTTCTTCTTCTTCTTCTTCCTTTCTTTTTGCTGCTTCTCGCCTGCATCCTTGTCCTCGCCCGCCGGCCAGACAGCGACAGCCTCTTCCCTCTTCCCTCCCTCCATCCATCTCTCTCTTCTTCCTCTTCTTCTTCTTCTCTTTTACTCTCTACTCTCTATCGTCTACTCTCTACGCTCTGCTGCTGGCTGCAACTCGCCATGGACAACCCTCCGCCCAGCGGCTCGGCCGGCAACTCGAGCGACTTTGTAAGTCTTTCTCTCTTCTCTCTCTCTCTTCTTACTGATGATGATGATGATGACTGACTCGCGCATAGGTCAGGAAGCTCTACAAGTGAGTCCCTCCGTCGGCCTGCAGACCGGACCAGACCCTGCCTTGCCTTGCCTTGCCTTACCCTTTTGCCTCGACTTATACTGACTGCCCAGCAGGATGCTCGAAGACCCGTCCTATGCGCAGATCGTCAGATGGGGAGACGACAGAGACAGCTTCGTCGTCCTGGAGGTCCGTCTCTCTCTCTCTCTCTCTCTCTCTCGCTTCTTATACTTCTATCCAGTTTCTAATAATCCTGTAGTGCGAGAAGTTCACCAAGTCCATCCTGCCGAAGCACTTCAAGCACAGCAACTTCGCCAGCTTCGTGCGCCAGCTCAACAAGTACGACTTCCACAAAGTGCGCCAGAACAACGAAGAGACCGGCCAGTCGCCCTACGGTCCCAGTGTACGTCGACCATATATTACTATTTAAGTGGACAATATCTTACAAAGTGTACAGGCGTGGGAGTTTAAACACCCCGAGTTCAAGGCCGACAACAAGGACTCGCTCGACAACATCCGCAGAAAGGCGCCGGCGCCGCGCAAGCAGGCGCCCGCCAAGGAAGACTCCATCCCCACACAGCAGCTCGACCTGCTCAACTCCCAGCTCCTCGCCCAGCAGCAACAGCTCCAGCACCTCACCGAGCGCATCTCCCAGACCAGCATCGAGCACCAGATGGTCCTCCAGGAAGTCCGCCGCGTCCAAAAGTCCGTCCTCGGCCACGACCAGGTCGTCCACTGCATCCTCACTTACCTCCACTCCCTCGACGCCCGCCAGAAGAGAGACTCCCGCGCCGCCGCCGCTGCTGCCAGCCTCTCCTTCCAGTCCCAGCCCACCGATCTCAGCCCGTCGCAGGTCGCCGGCATAGATGAGAACCCGGCTGCCTCCCCTTTACAGCATGCAACAAAGCTGCTCAACGAGATGACCGCAGAGAACCAGTTCAACTTCTCCGCCCTCGAGGGGATAGTCGCCGCCACCCCACCCCTCGACCCCCAGCAGCAGCAGCATCATCAGCAACAACAGCAGCAGCAGGCCGCCGCAGCCGCAGCCGCAGTTCAGCAGCAACGAGCCAACGCTGCCGCTGCTGCTGCCGCCGCGGCCGTCAACGGGGTCAACGGGGTCAACGTCGTCGGTGGTGTCGTCGGGATGACACCGCCCACCTCTGCCGCCGCCGCAGCCCAGCAGCAGGCCGCCTCGCTCTCTTCTTACCCCAAGATGAACGGCGAGCTCGAGCAGGTGGTCTACCCGGTCGGCGCAACCAACGGCATAGACCCCATGTACAGCGAGCACGTCAACAACATCCCTTACCCGCTACCCACCAACTCCTCTGCAAATAAGGACATGGACGTCCCGGACGTACGGCGGCAGTACCCAGTCGGCAACGACGGCCGGAAGAAGAGCATCTACCCGGACCCAGGCTGGGCGCGGAGTCCGCACATCCTGCTCGTCGAAGATGACCAGACCTGTCGCCAGATCGGAGGGAAATTCCTCTACTCTTTCTCCTGCATCGTAGACACCGCAGTACGTTTTCTCTTACTCTACTTTACTGTTATTTACTTTTTGTTTTGCTAACGTTTTCCAGCTCGACGGGCTTGAGGCGGTGAACAAGATACAGGGCGGGTCCAAGTACGATCTCATACTAATGGACATCATCATGCCAAACCTCGACGGCGTCTCGGCCTGCAGTCTCATCCGCCGCTTCGACTCCACCCCCATCATCGCAATGACCTCCAACATCCGATCCAGCGACATAGACCTCTACTTCCACCACGGTACGTCTCTTCGACTACTACTA